TTTATATTTTATTTTGCAGAGAGATTAAAAATGCTTTGAATCAATTCCAGTTATATTCAGTTAAGATAGAAAGATTCAGGATGTTATGAATTTCTTTACAGTATTACATATGAAAAACCAGATGGAAATAAAAACAACTTGAAACCACAACACTTTACACGAGGGAAAGTCAAAAAGTAAAAGGTTCAATTCTTTAAATATTCTTTTACTTTTTGACTTTTTCTAATACCAAGAAAAAGGTATAAAGAGAACAAAAATTCAGCTGTTTAATAAAAACACGAGACTGGGCGAAATGAGGAAATCCCCGCAAATATGATATCAGCAAGAATTTCTAGGAATTCATACATAATCTTACTTTTTCCTGTCTGGACTTCCCATCAAATACTTGGAAGTTATTGTGTATCAAGTTTTTATTTTGTCTGTAAATACTAACTCATTGCACAAGCTTAGAAATAAACAACAATAATAATAAACACATATAACTCTATGTAATACACGTGGCAGTCGTGAGAAAATATTGTAGGCTACATTAACCATTTTGAAAAAATCTTAGTAATTGAAAATTTTTTATAATGTTATTAATTTTATTTATAAAAGATAAATTTTAGTTGAATATCACATATAAGATATTTGTGAATTGAAAATTAACATTATTGTTTTACACATTATTCCCTTCACGCGAGAGACATTTATATTTAAAAATATAACGATTTTTAACTGTTTTTAATACAATGACAGCGTTACACTGTGAAGAATAGTGTTGCGGTGTAATTTTACCTTACCGGTTGTAATGTCTTAACTACAGTCGATAAATGAAATTGCGCTTTTATTTTCATCAAATAATAAATCATGCATTAACGAGAGAGAAAGAGAGAAATAAATCGATTAGTTTTCATATTCCGAAACGCGCCACTTCCAAATATTGCAAGCTATTTAAAAACCTTCTTCAATAATCAACATAGAAGTCGCAATCAGTTGCATATTAAAATGTATTTATAGTTGACAATATTCAATTTATGGCATACATTTCTATTTTTCGGTGATTATGTCATGCGTCCTACGCGTTTGCTATTTTTATTGATATTTGTTACATTTGTATCTACATTGTGCGTAGAATGGAAACTCGTGCGCAGCGAGGATTCTTATCATGAAAAATTTCTTTTATTTGAGATTAAAGTCAGCAATGAGACGTTGAGTTGAAATGTAATCAATTAAATTTTCCGAAGGATTTGTAAATTTACAAGCGCGGTGGTTTCGTTTCACGGCGCACGCGATTCAGCTCACGTACATTGACACGCGGTGAAACGTCATCGTATGGTGTACGCACGATCAGGTTATGTTACATTATGTTTATCACCTCGCAAATATACGTAAACGGTGCAATAAATAGGCGACAATGTGACCTTTGGCCGCAAATTACTCTCTTTGTTGCAGTGCAGCATTGCATTGCATTCGCATCGCAACGCGACGATTTATTTTCTATGTAATGTGACGACAACTTAATGAAAAGTTTTAATAATAATGATAGATTTATAGAACATTCTCCCATCAAATAAAATTCGTCATGGCGAGTGTAAAAAATGACGTAAGTTTATTTATTATGTTTCAATAAATATTTTGTCTTTTTCAACGACACGAGAGCGCATAACCTCTTATTGCAATTGTGAATTGTGTCAATTTAGCATCATGGAATATATATATATACATTTATGATTTTTGACGGAGCACAAACGTATTATCACTTTTTTATGTATTGCTTAAAATGTCATGGTTATAATGCCATGTCATTCTAAATTAATAGTGAGATCTACAAAAATTGTCATAGTAATAATTGTTTTTTGTAAATTTTCTTTGCACAGGATAAAACCGTTTTAGAGGCCGAAACTATCTTTTTATTAATGAAAAAGGGCTTTCCTATCTCTCGCAATGTAAGGGCTCAATGGCTGCTAGAGCATTTGGACTCTGTGATAAGCGTACAATGTCCAGGTGTAAAGAGTAAAGAGATACCAGAATTAGAAATTGTATCGGTGCTACCGAAAGAGCAGCCTGTCACTTGGTCTATAGATACTAGCCACCAATTTCTTTATAAAATAGTTTCAACCACTTCAATTATATTTCTAGCACACAAGTATAGAATGGTTTTTAGCTTAGATTTAAGCCCATCGCTTGCCACTGTTGTAAGTAACATAAAACTAATAAATTACTGTAATATAATTTTTATAGTAACAATGATCAAAATAGAGTATGTTTTTTAGGATGTACAAAATGAACAGATTGTTCTTGATGAGGTATGCCTAGCGACCAAGCGATGTCTTGAAGGCATAACAAAACCAGTAAGTGTTCTTTTTCTTTGACACTTTGCAAGTGTGTTACTAAAAAGTTTTTAATTTACTTGTGCTTGTAGTTTGTGGTACCAGGCAGCAAGCGTGTGATGCAACCTGAAATTTACATAACTGTGATAGCTCATACACCATTCTTTACAAGCCCGGCACAACAAGTACTGGTACAAGGATGGTTGGTTACTGCGGATAATGTGAACTCTCTCACGCAATACATAGAGAAGCAGCTGTACCTATTGGAAGAGAGAGTGGCAACTGTTACCGCTATAGCTAATCAGCAGTTGGAAAATTTAAGAGCAGAGAGTGAACGTTTGGTAGGCAGGCTTTTTGAGGAAAGTAGCACGTGCTTAAATAAAAATAATTGTAATATCTCTATAGTTTCACCAGAAGCCAGTTTTGTAAATATGCTGAGATATGGAATGCTGGCTTTAACACTCTTACCTGAGCACAGTTGTGCACGTGAGTTAAATTATATTTGAATGAATCGATATATAGTGTGAGGCGTGTGTTATGATGTCTGTGTGCAAAGCAGGATGAAGAATAAAGTGCGGAAAAAAAATTTTCAGATATGATAATAGTCACGGACGGTATCGTTGGAATTAAGAATGCTCAGACGTTAGATTCCATTATACAACAACTACGTGCAACGACGGTAGCGTGTAGTTTTTTACGCGTAGGCAGCGCCTACGATCCGCATTGCGCGGATGGTTTAGTGCCATATCAAGATCTATTATATTTTATCGCTGCGGCTACGCTCGGCAGTTATATGACGTTCAATTCCCATGTTGTACGTAAATTTTTAATGTATAGCATTTGATCGTACTCAGCAGTAGCATTAATTGCAATGTAATGCTTTTATCTGTGAATAGGTACCTGCGCACGGAACAGACATGAATTTTTATCACAAGCATTTTATATGCTGGCAACTCTATCGGAATATATTCGAGGACGATATATGGAATCGTCATTCTTGTTGGCGAACCGAAAATAATTGCTTTCATGGGCATAAAACTGGTCAGCTCTTGAGGAAAAAGCAAATTGATGATAAAGTTACCTGTACCTTGAGTAGTTTGTTGTGTTGTCGTCTGAGGGAAGGATATCTGATAAAAAGAGCCAGCGTGCGAGACGACGTTCTCGAAATAAATTTCGTGCTGCTATGGAAAACCAATGTCTTCTTGGAATATTTAGTCACGTGTCCATGGTCTTCAAAATCATTGTCTCTGTCCAATGTGATACAATACGCCATTATCATAGAAGGTAAACTCAAGTGATAATTAAGATATAAAATTGCATCTCTGTGTGGCCTGGTCTGAAATTGATTTTTATTGCAGCGCCGTATGAATTTTTGCACGACATTACATGCCTGTCGAAAAAGCCATTGAACTCGCATTATCGTCAAGCTGTCATCTCACGTTTTTGGACTGCGCTAACAGCATTGACAGAAAGCGACAACATGTTGTTGCACTTTAGCTGGTTTCCGGGATCCGGATGGACTTGGTACAGCGTACCAGACACGATAAGAAGCGGAATGCCAGTGTTTTACCTATCGTCTTATCCATCACCAAGTACAGTACAACTTAGGTATATTTATTTGCTTGTACAAGTGACAGTAATTAGTACAGTGTGGCTACAACATGTATGAAATTGTCTAAAATAAAGAACGCGATTAATATCTGACGATGTGTCTGAGCGTGTATTATTCATTTCAGTGACGCTGCTTGCCCACAGTTTGGACAAATATGGCAACCAGTCGTTTCTCTGGATCCACTTCAATGGGCGCGCTGGATGCACACTCAGAGAATTACGTTGATTCTAGCTTACGATAGACCATTGCCGAGACATCTTCACCAAGCGAATCAGAGCGGTCGCTTCCAATGCATTCAGAGTCGGCAAGCGGCGGCGGTATTATACGCTATGCTGAAGAATTGGGCGACCTTTGTGCTAGTCGAAAATCACACGTATGTCCAGTTCATATACAGAGAAACGGAGAAGCCGCCCGTGTCGTTTTCATTGATCCGCATTAATTGCAAAGCACTTTGCGTCGTGCTCAATATAGCGTTCGCCGGCGGCACGGAGGGTGTCGTCCGTCACAATGTAGTTGTGGATCTCGTGGACAGGCTGTCCAAGCTGACATTGCCCAACAGGCCGACGGAGCAACGTGAAACTCCATGTTGTACGATAATACACAAGCCACTTGAGAGAATTCTCGTCAGATACGAGCGTATACCGAGCAATCTGAGCATGATAGTGTTTCCCGACGGAACTCAGCCAACTTGCACGAGAACTGCACTGGGACTATCGGGAAGTGGTCTGACAATTACTTTGTCCAGATATTTGTATCACAATCGATGGCTGTGGCACGTAAAACGACCGTTCGTTCAAACCATCCCGGGAATTACTTTGCCAAGACTGAATATCACCGCGATTGCAAGAATACTCTCTACAATTACAAAGTAAATACGCCCGCGCGTTGATATCGACACCGGAAAATCACGCGAATCACGATGAAATTTCCGTTTTATTTGCAGAATACGTTTAGGGGAGGGCTTCAACTTTGCGTATTCCACTGCGGGCATCACCAACATGGTGTTGGAAGTGCAGATGCAGGACTTTGAGAACAACGAAAATTCCTACCCGTGTATCATTCAGTACGTTCTATTCCCGCCGCATATTGTGCCGAATGCAACATTAGAACGCGAGAGCGGTACTGAAGATGACACGGAAGAAGGTGGAGTATTTATCGCGATTATTGAACGAAGATGTTACTTGTGCAGTGAACGAATGTGCTTTTGCGTACATCAGGTGTCACCGAGGCTGAAGTGTGGACCGAGGATTCCGAAGGTTACAGCGATTTTCAGATTGTCACGGAGATTTGGGTTGAACCTCAATGTGGATATGTACAAATGCCTATGCAATCGACTGCCATGTATTTGCATCCTCTGCAGTATCATCAATTACCAGATGCGGTAAGTACGACAATTACGGATGAAAATTTCGATTTTTTTATATACAGTTGGAAAAAATCTTTACCTTTAATCTATTTTTCTTTTTTTATCAAATTTTTTTTCTACTATATAACATCTACGAGCTTGCTTAAATTGATAAGACACGATTAATTCCTTGAATATCAGTCTTATCAATGATAAGATATTTTGTTCGATTAAAAATTGCTTTACTAATGGTCAATATTTCACGTGTATGTTATATTGTATCTTTAACGATATTCGCAATCGTAGATATTCTGAGATAATTCTGTGCTTAGTATTAATTATGTCTTATTACTTGGTCGTTGCAACATACAAGGGTTACAGAAAAGTTTCCATCGCTCATTCAGCGTGATAGATAACGTTAAGAACTATTTAGAAAAAGGTTACGACTTTATTTTTGTTTTATTATGTCAATGTGAATCATATCTATTGACATAACTGCACTCTTCGTTCGTGTGAAAATGAAGAAAATGGATGTTGAAACAAAGATGCCCATTCGTCGTCTTATGCTTCGTTATTTTAAGGAGCAAAAATCAGCTGCTGATACGACTAGAATCCTTCGTGATGCTTTTTGTGATTCTGATGATATCGTGATATCTGATAGATTGTGTTACTACTGGTTTCAACGCTTTAGAAAAGGTGATGTTGACTTGGAAGATAAGAAGCGTTCCAATCAGACCGCGTTTGGGCAGACCGTTACTGATTTCCAACCGCAGAAAAGAAGTTTGGATAATTTTGAAACGCCGCTGCTGAAGGATTCGATTCAGACGAGAGAAAACCTTCCGAAAAAGTTGTGTATTGATCAGAGCTTACACGAGAAGATTCAGAAAGAAGAAAAAAAGATATCATGTGAATTGTCCCAGGACACCATCGCCAGCCGAGTCTCGATTTGCCTTTCGCTGCTCAATCGACACAAACAAAAGTCCTTTTTGTATCGAATTGTGATCGGAGGCGAAATATGGCTTGACTACGACAATTCCGATGTACCCAATGAACCTTCTACGTCGCAACTACAAAAAAATAGCCGTCACAAGGTACTGTGTATCTGGTGGGATATGCACGGAGTGCTGTATTATGAGCTGTTACCGTCAGACCGAACTACCGAACTTACGATGCTTTATACTCAACAATTAAAGCGGTTGAATGAGAAATTAATTGAGAAACGGCCGTATTTCGCGGCAAAACGGAACAAGGTAATTCTCCTGCACCAGAGGCATCATTTTGCATTGGAGACCAGGGAAACTTTAATGAAGTTGCAATGGGATGTCCTGTCATATCCTTTACACTCTGCAGACATTAACCCGTCGAACTTCCACTTGTTTCGTTCGATGAAACGCGAACTTCCTGACAAACAAACGTTTTGCAATACTGAGGAAATGCAACAATTCGTCGATGACTTTATCTCCTCCAAAAGCAGAAACTTTTTTTATGAAGGCATCCATCTTTTGCCTGAAAGGTGGCAAAAAGTGTTAGATAATGCCGGAAAATTAATTAAAAAATAAAAAGATTGTATTATTTATAAAGATATTAATAAATGCGATTGGAAAAGCGATGGAAACTTTTTTGCATACCGCTAATATTAATAACCATTTGATAATATTGTAAAAGGATACATTTGTTTAAATCTTTATGTTATGTATATATATAATGTTTATAAACCTGATTAATATCTAATTTCGACGGTATCTTGGTTTCACAAGTTTATGAAATAAACCACTTTCAGACGTTACTTTTATCCTTCTTATCTTGAGCTAACTTGATAATGTTGCGTGTGGTAACACAAAAATTGTTCTGGCATACGATCGTCTAAAGTGCTTTATTTTGCTAGGTGCCGAGTCTATCTGACTCAGGTAAATATTACTCGGCGATAGCAGATTATTTAACCTACTTTATTTTTAACTTAAATCATCATGCTCTAAGATTTTTCACGTCCATGCTCGCTATCAAGATTTCTATCCACATTCTATTCGACGGAAATACGGTCTTTCCTAATTTCTATCTTTCAGAAGATAAGAAATACCCGACAAGAACTTTGTTTGCTAAGTGATATGTTAGATCGAACAACATTGGTAATTCACGTTTAGATGAATATTACGCTGCCTTCCACAGAAAATATAGACGCAGAATATTTTAATCTTTATACAGTTAATATGAAACGATGCAAGATCGCGATTATAAGAATCCTTGACGAATAGTCGAACAAATGGAGGAAAGAAAAGTTAAATGGGATTAATAATTTCTCTGAAAGCGAAGTGCAGTAGATTCACTCAAGTATCTTAAACGTCTTGATGTATCATGACGTAGCGCGTAATGTTGCTTTATCTTCAATCTTATCTTTCAATTCTGATAGAGGTGCTTATAAAATGCGTGTGTGCACTGTCATTTGACGAAGGACGATTAGGATAAAGATTTTTATCAACATTTTTATTACATTTTTTTTTCACGAATTGCATTTAACGTTTTGTACATTATCTCAAGTATCGATTTCTTCGATTTCTTGGCACACACTTTTATATAAATATTGAAGTTTTATATTGAAGTTTATTAATTACATCATACATTGGTGTACTTTGACACAAGTTTCTAAAGCTGTTTGCACAATATGCATAGGTATATTTACGATTTAAGCACTGAAATAATGTATAATATTGTAAAAATAATTTTTCAGAGGAAGAATAAATTATAGTTTATTTTAATATATATTATGTTATATATATATATATAATTTACTTCTCAAAACTTTAAAAGAGGCCAAAAATTAGATATTTTTTTCACTTTTTGAAATCATTGATTATTGATTGATTATAATTTTATATAAATTGCACGGAGCTAGATATAATAGAAATGTGCATTTTTTATAGTGCAAACACATAATTTTAAGAAAAGTTCGTATTAACTAGATAAGTGTTATCTGATTCATTCGTTACCTGGAGAGCGTTGCTAATCAGAAGATCAAATTTCAAGGTACACCAATTGATACGTTCGAAAAGTCACATTTTATTCGCCAAGAGAAATTATTTCACCAATTGACGATCTCAATTTTTGCTCTTTGATAAACGTGGCTCTTTACAAAAACTGTATTCTTTGTTTCTACTTGATACTTGTCTCAAATAATTGATAACGTAATATGCAAATATATTCGCTGCTTATTTGTTTAGCGCGGAATTGATATGCATTTAATTTTCCAAACTCTATGCATTTTAATATTCGCATTAGGCATATTTAATATGGGAACGATGGTACGAAATTGATATCGATGGACACAAAATGAATTGAAATACACTTGTTTTATAGATTGGACTTACATGACATTGCTATTAGTAAATATTAATTTTTGTATTTCGAAATAGGTCTTTTCGACGAAATCTCGACGTCTGGTACTCACGGGGAAAAGAGTTTTGCGCATGCAGACTAGAATGCAACTTTCGCTGATTATCTTTCCGTCGAAACTAGAGGAGAAGCTAACAGGGAGCAGTGCTTGTCATCAGAAGTTGTTATCGTCACATCATGAATAACGCAAACGTTTGCCTACGCGCGTTTTTGCAAGGACGTATCGTAAGGCAGGTGAAATATCACCTTCGTCATAACTCTTTCACTCTATCTGCAATTTACATCTCTGCCACTGGCAGGGAGGGATAACAAAAATCAAGTGCAAGAGTCGTATTATCTTGCTGTTACATCTCAATCTGTTACACATCTATTTTGCGCGCATCCTTCAGAAGGACGAGGAGGAATTCGCTCTCGTAGAACGTCAAGTTTTTTCTCATCTCATTTTCGGCGATGTAGCACGCCGTTTCCGGTTCGTGAACGGAGAGCGAAAAGAGCGAGGAGCGTAAAAGTGTCTATCGCTACATGTCGTTATCGTTATCGGGGTGGGGCTTCGGTATCGATGAGGGTCCTCGGAACGAGGTTTTCCTATCAGTCGGCTCAGGTATATATAGGGCCCAATACACGCCCTGCGCTCACTAGTGATCGGATTATCTTTTTCGCGCAATTTTATATCGCCGCACGTCCGCTCGCCTCCATACAGGCTCTACGCGCCGTTGCTAAGTCTCTTATCGCCAAATAATCCCCCGGTGACACGGCGGCTTTCTCACATTTCGCACGGAAGTGATGACGGTTTCCGTGCCGTTTGCGGCCAAGCCACCGGCCATCGACTCACAGATTCGTCGTCCTGCTTGAGAGTGACACAACGACGAGGGAATCTAGGAATAAAACGCATAGTTATCTTCATATCCCGTCTGTGTATTTTCGCGTTTCTATTCTTACGAGTTAAAGTCGTCATTTCGTTATCATGAGGTGACGCTCCACTCGAGATTAACGCCGGAGAACATCGGAGTCGACCGTTTCTGGCGCAGACAGGCAGACACGCGATCGTCCGCCATCCGCATCGCCGCTCCTCCTCTCTCCGTGTCTCTTCTTCGGATTCTCGCACTCTGCGTGACACTCAGTTGGAAGTGAGGATCTAGGCAGTGAGCGGCTGTAGCTCTTGGTAACTTGCCAGATCTAACTCTTCCAGCTCAGGGTTGCGCGGCAACTCACGTCGCGGTCTTGTAGGATAGAGTGGTGCTGTTCCTGGCCGAAATCACGTTTCACGTCGAGGGTTGCATTGTGAGGGCAGCGGATATCACGGTTCAAGTGGAGAAGTGGTCTCTGCGCTTTGTATGAAAGTGAGATTCAACTCCTCCAACTTATTCCTGATCATCCCGCATCATCGAAATTTCATCCACGGCGATCGAGCCGTCTGCTTGTGGATTGCTTGCGCGAACATGGATGTGATTATCGATCGCGCTAAGCGCTATTAGCGGATAAACACTAATTATTTTGTTCTTTGTTTAATATAAGTCAATTTGAACCGTAATCGATAAGCTTAATGGAAGATTAAACTGCTATCTATAATAATTTTTATTTGATGTACCGAGTTCAAGTTATTTCAAAAGTTATATTAAAAATCACGATACCTTGCATCGACCACACCGATCTTTTTGTAATGTAATCTTTTTTGTAATATATATATATATATTTGTTTGTCAGGAATGTATGAGTTATTGCATAATTTAACGCAGAATTCTTTCAGAATATTTATATATAAGTCTCTCTTCTTTGTACTTATTGCATGTGATATTAAAAATTTGTTTTTTTTCCACAAATCCTACATCACACTTATTGTCACTTTGTCCGATCCAGATTACCCGAATAGATGAGGAATGCATTAACGCTCTATTGACCTTGGAATACTTGAGCCTGTTGAGCCAGGTAACGCCAGCGGAAAAAAATACCGACATCGAGTTTGGGCAAGCGCATCAAGGAGTGAGATATGGCGTTATGGGCGCCTCCACAGACCGCATCTCCGAATGTCCAAATCCAATCGAACCCTTCGAATCGACGGCGATAATCGACGAGAGGATACATCCGATGTACTTCTCGTTCGACACTCTGAGCATTTTACCAAAATGTCAGCAGGCGGAACTCTTGTTCTCCATGTTCGCCGACGGTTAGAAGCTTGTCTTTTTCGCAGTAAAACAGTACGAAGGAGAATAGGAAAGGGGGAGAGAAAATAAGTAATCGATCTTGTGTTTCATTAGATTCTATCCGTATCGACGAGGATAGAGATAGCGCAAATAGAATTCTCATAGGAAACTTCTTGGAGCATATGAAACAGTTGCACAATAAAGAGCTGTTGCTTACGTCGGCGGAGTCGCAGAGATTCACGAGGATGCTTCTCAGCAGACCGCGCGAAAATGCTCCTCCATTACCTTTCTCTGTGCAAGGAGGTACAACATTCAAGTCCCTATTATATAAGCTGCTGCCAAGGCCGATAAATATTTTGCAGTCTTGTTGCATTCCGTTGCATCTTTTGCAGAAATGTAATATTCTGTAGCTTTTAAGTTGTCTCATATAACCTGACTTTTTTATTTTAGAGAAAAGATATCGAGATAATACCTCGGATATTTATCCGAGATGGAAGTGTTTTGTTAAGGGTATTAGTACAACACATGTTATCATCACGATACTGCCGGCAACCGAAAAAGATGTCCGTTTGATAACATACGCAGGCGACAATTGCACGAGCAATCATTCCGAGAAGAATTGCGAATCCGATATTTTCGACCTCGATATGAACGAAAAGATATCGTCTCCAACGGTCTCATATGTAAAGGATACAAATATATCCGATTTCCCGACACCGGAGTCGAAAATTCCGACTCATTCCGCTACCGGGAACGGAAGCGCGTCGAAAACAAACGTAGAACATAATTTTGATAATATCGATAATGAGGCAGGTCTTGTTATACCTGTATACGTATATGATTGTTCGCTAGCATTATTAATGGACGCACTCGTCGGCCAGTTTCAAACACCTCAGAATAAAGACATCTATCAGGATCATACCTTTAAAATTGGAGAGCAAGTTTCCGAAGATTTTATTAATCTGAAATCAGAGACTAACACAAAGCCCTCATCTCCCGAGCCGAAGAGCGAAGATTCTGACAATATCTCTAATGGTAATTTAGAATTTTAATTATATATAATATATTAGCAGTATAAAAAGATAATGATGATAATGTAAATCATCTTTTTTGAAAAGCAATTGCGGACAATTGCGCTATTGAAAATGTTGACAATCAGCAATGAAATGTTTCTAAAATAAAATTCATTTTTTTGTCCTAGATCAACCAAGTTTAACGGAGCATTGTAAATTATTGAGCTTGGCACATTGCCATTGTTACGTGGTTGCGGTTTACAAGTCATTAGCGCTGCAAGAGTCGTTAAGCTACGAAGATATGGAAGCTGCTGTGGCACAATGCGAAGAAAACTTGATCGAGATCAATATTACCAACTATCTGCGATCGGTCTGCAGACATTTGAGCACGTTGTCGGAAAGCAGTCTGCTCGACGAATTGAAAGTTTCTGCGTGCAATGACGTGAAACCGTTGCACAGTTTGATTAAGGATAAATTTAAAAGGATCATGGCGGTTGCGTTTAAACCTGTGCCCGCTCATCCAGAATTTTATTACTGCTTACCGTCGTGGACGACGGAAAAAATCGTACGTTTCTTCACACGTATATTACGTTATATCAAGCAGTATTGTAATATTCACAATTTGTAGAACTTGTTGCTTTATGAAAATGATGTTACTTTCAGAAAATGGTGTCGCAAAGGACAGACAGTGATGATGACGATGACGACGATTCGGATGATTTCACGTGTCAGTCCGAAATGCCGGCTCCGAAGACGGATAATTCTTCCAATCAAGGTACAGCAATGAGGCGACATTTATATTTATGAAAACGGGAATCTTTATGGAATATTAAATACATTGGGCGCATTTCTGTTACACTGCTAGTAAGTCAAGCTGTCAATATCACATGGCCGGCCACAAATCTTCATAACAAGGGGAAACTTTCCCAGAGCAACTCGAAAGATTCGCTTATAAGCGACTTCGAAGAGGAAAGCACGTGGGATATGAAGGATCAGCCGCTCTTCTTACACCTAAGCTGCTCGATTCACTTCCGCTCGGAGCTCTGTAGTATACCGGTTAAACTGATGCCTACCTGCTTCACCGAGATTATTCAACGAATAAATGACGGCAAGGAGAGAAATCTCGCCGAGCTGAGCGTGAACGATCTCAAGGTCACTCTGGATATCATTTGTTTGAACCTTCCGAGAGAAGTGTTGCAAGTGTCGTTGGAACGTTACCCTGAATTGAGAACAACGTCGTACTGTAGCGCTTCGCCGATCGATAGCATGCCGAGTGACAGCAGTCCGGAGGCAAATGCGAAGGCTGAATCGGTGCAGGGAAAGATGCCGCATCTGTCGCAGCATCACGCGGTAACCAGCCTGAAAGATGAGATCGAGTGGCTGCTGCGGGACGAAACTGCGACGGCACTTTTGGATCATCCTTCACCGAATGTGGACACGTTGAGATTCATAGCGCAGCACGTGTCGAATTCCGCGGGGAAATCCAGCTGCTTGATGGATAAAGTGCCTTTACATTTTGTCTTTTCGTCGGAGAGCAGCGTGCCCAAATTTCTGAAGGAATTGAAAAATCTCGAGATTAATGAATACTGCGTTTGCCAAGAGGCTGATTTATTTTACTTTGTCAAAAAACCGGAAATGATAACATCTGACGCAGAAGCAGACGCATTACATATAGACTTAGAGAAATTGCAATTAAAAGAAGGTACAAATAATTGTAAATAAATGTAAAAATAATTTTACTTTATATGTTTGCAATCAGATAATTTACAATTACAATGTAAAGTATGTGTATAATCTCTCTTTCTCTCTTTCTCTCTCTATTTTTTATTTTTTTAAATAATTTTTATTTTGTTTACTGATTTTTTCTTGAGAAAAATTAACAGAGTAGCTCTGCATCAGAAATTATACTAAATATTTGAGAAACATATTCGAAGGAAAAGTTTATTTAGGTTTTGAGAGGTATATTAGAATTTAATTACAGATGAAATTATTGAAAATGTGGAACAAGAAGAAATATCAACTACAGCAATTCAAATAAACGGGCAAGACTCTGGAGACGCGCCAGGTTATTATTCCGAGATTTCAAGTTTAGCCGAAGGGAAACACGGAACGGATGACGGATATGAAGGTGATAGCAGCAATTCCGACGACGATTACCAGTGGTTGGTGGAACTTGATAAACGCAGAAATCGCTTGCCCAATTTCTGGTTAATTCTGAGTGTCGAGAGTAATCACGTTAATGTTTACTTTCACTGCAGGTAATGTAGCATTAGTAACGCGAAATGTCGATCTATTCGTGTATAACAACAAATACATCTGCTACGCGCAAGAAGCAACAAAAGACAAATTTGATAAAATCATCATTTAATTTCAGATTTTTAGAACTTTCTTCACCAGAAGTGGACTGCTATTTACAAATACAAAAATTGCTCCTCGTCCAAATCAAGGCTATATGTCGCCGAGTGAATCAGTATTTGCTTTTACAAAATCTCCACGATACTCGTATATGCGATTCGCTATTGGAGCCAGAATCGACTGAGGATTATAATACCTGGAGGGGAGAGAGCGTCGAATCTGGAAATCTCTTCCAGAATCACACTTCTTCAACCTTCAACTTTACACCAGGCATGTTTAGATGCCCTGTAATTTGGGAGGAACCATTTAATCTGCACCCTCGTTTGAAAACCGGGCCCGGAAGATCCGGATTATCGAGAGGGATCAAAGCGTTGCACGGCGTACTTAACAGACTGTCCGTTAACAATCGAAACAACATGTTTGTGTATCAAGAAAATAACGAGAATGTATTTTATTTGCGGCTGCACGAGCAAACGAACGACGGGAAGCCTCTGCAGAATAAATTGTCCGAGAGCGACGAGAAATTGGTCGTCTCGCGCAGCAACAGCATCGCGTCTTTGTCGCAGGCTAAGAGCATCAGTTTAACGAATGATCACGCAACACTGAACGACACTCGACCTCGGGTTCGTTCGTTCGGCGAGAAGGAGTCCGATATCTTGAACAGGACCGGCGATTCGATCATTCTTATGGTGCACGGAATATCGGAAGCCGGTCCGGAAGTCAAACGGGACTTGGTGCAAGTCTTGCAAAATCGTCTCGATGACGCGGTGCTGGAAGTGCTGTCCGTGATGCTGGCGCGTAATCCGATGTGCAAGCTGACGCCGGCGGACGTGCACTTTATACAAAAACCGTACAAGTCTCCCGAGTGTATAGTGCAGTTATCGGTGCAGCCGCACTGCTTGCCGTATATAGATGCTTTAGGATATTATTTGAGGCAAAATATATTGCAGTTTCTGTACACGCCGAAGTACACGGATCTTGGCAACCACTTTCAAGACTACTCCCCGTTGGACGGCACCAGAAAGAGAGTGTCCGAGTCCGACATCTTTTTGTATAATCAAAGCCACTCGAGTGGCAGTAAAGGTATAGCTTGTATCGCATTAGCCATTACCGACGGCAAATGCGAGTCCGCAGCGTCGACGGCGGCGAATCATCCAAAGCACGAGTCGAACTTCTCGAAATTATTGAAGGTCGAGAATTTTGAAAGGATCGTGTCGACCACCGTTCACGACTATAAAAGCGATTCCAAATCGAGTGCGGAAACGCTGATTGAATTTCGAATCTGGAAGCAAGGCAGGGTGAATCAGGAGTCCTTGATTCAGAAATTGTCGTCCGCTGTGAAACACGGCACTTGGGACTTGATTACAGAGTACAATCTTCTGGCGACACCTTTAACGGAGCCAGAAACCATCAATCCCTCAGTTGTTGCAGCAACCACAGAGGAAAAGAAAGAAATAGCGGCGAAGATGTCGCAATCGCAGAAAGTTGCTGACAACGTGTCAGTTAATCAGTTCGAGCTCGACGAGGAAGGAAAGCTGAATGAGGTTTATCACACCACGCTAGCACGATGGTTTCATTTTGCACTGGAAATGTATGTTCCTGCTGTCAAGAAGCACGAAGTGACTATTCATCACAGACACGCGATTCCTGTGATCGTGAGAGAGCTGCAGAACATCATACGTTGCCAAGATGCAGATACATCCAGTAGAGTTTTCGTATTGCAAGATCGACAGCCATTCCTGAACCAATTTATTGTCCGTAAAGTTGGATCGAAGTCTGCACAGAACAACAATCGACTGATGACTGAAGATACAAATCCAGAAGGTGCGAACTCACCGGTGTACGTGCCGCATGAGTTTAATAAAGACGAGCAGACCACTTACATCAAATGTATCTTGATTGCAAGAAATTTTCATCAATGGAAGGCTTCTTTGAGCAAAGAAATAGATCCGGAATTGCTTGCTCCTAAAGGTCAGTTTCAGTTGAACAATTTCTAACGTAAATCTCACACTCCATCATTGATTGTCATATATTGTATATCTTGTATGTTGCAGATCAAAAACAACTACAAAAATTTAACCCGTTGATATCGGATTCGAATTTTGTGCCTAGACAAAGAGTATTGTTAGCTGAAATATTGAGTGACAATGTTGGTGGTTATTATCCGAGAGCTACGAGACATTAAATAATTGACAATTGAATAATCGAGCTTTGTATTGCATTTTCAGATAACCATTTATATGTACAACTGGTCGAAGGAAAAATCGGAAAAGTTAATAAAGCAAGCGACAAATTTGGGCACGTGGCTTTCCTCCAGATCGAGTCTATTCACCAACATAATCATGCAAAAGTTGGGTATATTTCATCACAAACTCACTCGAGAAACTCAGCAGAGAGAACACGGTTCTCAATACTATCAAATCGCAGACATGGAGAATCTCGCGAAATTTCCAAGTCAGTCGACTGCCGACAGTAAAGATTGGACGCGATCGAGCAATCGGGGACAATCGATGAAGAGCAACGCGTTTTCGTGGTCTCAGATGATCGGGCAAGCGATGCGCGATGCCAAACCAAACACCGCGCATACTCACAATACGACGGATGCGATCGTAAAGGCTGCCTACGATTTACAGGATTTACGACACCGGGAGAAGAAGGTCAAAGGTAATGAAATATTGAAGTTTGCGTGTAAGAAATGATGATCGCGGCAGCGTGCAATCGATAATACAATCTCTGAAATTTGCAGAGGATTTGGAGAAATTGTACGCGATGTGGCAGAGCCGGACGCCTAACATACCGATATCGCTGAGCGCTTTCAACACGTTCAAGCAACATTCTCGTCTGATACACTTTTGCCACACGCCCCTTCTCTTTCTGCCCGCCTGGCGTTTGCAGTCCGCCGCTACGAGAGATCATTCATTAACGCCGCAATCGTCCCACTTGGGCTCGAACGTGCATCAAGTTACGCAGTCGAAACAAGAAGCGACGAACGCGATCATGATAAAGTGGCATCAAGAGCTGTGCAAGTCGATGCTGTCGGAATACAAGCAATACTTGCAGATCTTGGGCTTCAATCCGATTCAAGTGGAGTCGCCGAGTAAAACGTTTGTTCGAATTTCTCATTATTGGATGTTTGTTGAGCGAATAATGTAACGAATAAATATATCGCGCTTATATTGCAGAGATGAGGATGTGCAGCAGCAGTCTTATTATCTAAAGAAGTCAATGCTGGGCGGTATTTTACTGTTCGAAATTCACTTGACGCAACCGTTTTTCATCGTAAAATTGCACATCATCGAGTGCAATCGCCTGCAAACGAAGACGAGCAGCGGTATGGTGAACCAGGTGAAACAAATTTCAATGATATATTTTTATACATACATCTCACATGCGATGACACATTTGAGCTGAGAGATTTGTGTGATTGATTGCAGTTTGTGCTAAGCTTCGTGGACGTTTGCGATAAGATTCAGATCAACATGCATTTACACTCGTTCACATACGACTTCCACTTGCGTTGCATTTATTCTTACATCGCCGGAACTGGACTGTGGTCCTTGCAGCAGGGGTACCACCTCACTCACTTTATGGATGACTTCATCAAGTATTACAGCAAGGCACCGAATTACGCTAGGAACCTGATATACAGCGGTAAGCTTTGTCGAGATGGCGTTCACTGTTGCGATACAGATACATTTCATATTGTAACGTGGAATAAATCAGAGTATGAAAATTTAATATCGCCATTCCAGATGTAATAACGATACGTAACATAGCGATACCCGCGCGCACGCTCTTCTCATATTTGCTGTCACACGAGAAAGTCTACAACATGCGCGTGTTCGTGATGTCTGATGAGTTTGAGGAATTGCACGACAACGAATACGTCTTGATCAAGTTGCAAAGCACTCCCTCGATTAGTTACTTCGACGCCCAAGATACTCGATACATTGACGACTTTGACGTGGCGTTGATCGTGTCACGTATAGAACAGTCGGCGCAGACGGACAGAACCGAGATCTCTTTCAAGTATTACCTGATGCTAACGAGCAAGAGGGAATTGTATCCAAAAAGAGAGGTGGAGAACAACAAACTGGGCAAGTTTAGGACTGTATACAGCGTCAAGTCCACAACTAGTTCGTATACCGAGAGCCCGGTGGAATCCTGTCCCGTCTCGCCGATACCGCCGTTCGTGAGAGTGAATTCCAGAACGGAAATGTCGAGTGGCGATCAGCAGAAGAAGAATCTCGATACGAACGGCGCGACTAAAGACGTCGACGTTAAGACGGCGAGCCACACCCACAGCAGCTTAGCGCCAACGCCCCCGCCGGTCCCGAACTCTCCCCTAACTCAAAATTCTAATATCCCGAATATCCCGAATACGCCGAACACATCGTCGTCGTCGTCGCCGCACTTGATGCAGATTCGCCAGGAATCGGTGAACTACCTGGGCTACTACTCGTCGCACGAGCAGCTTATGCAACAAATGATCATGTCGCAGGCGCAGGCGGCTCGTCAGCACATAACCACCATGGTGGAGCGCGGCGCTCTGCAGTGCCGGACGCACTTGCTTTGGGACAAATTACTGGAGAACAAATCTTCGATGACGTATACCGAGTTCAAAGAGCTCTGCTCGCTAGCTCACGTTGAACCCCTTCCGAACTTGGATCCTAGGCTCAATTTGTTCGTTAACCAGCCTGTTTCGTGGTATCAGGCGCTGTCCAAAGTGTTGCAAAATAAATATCAGGAACATCATAAACAATTTATCACATCCGATGGGAATATCACCCATCATCTTATATTGCACCCGACTCTTCTCCAAGCATTCATGATGCTGACTATCGATTTGCATACGTCGAGAGGAGTGAGTATTTTCTGCACACAATTAGAAAGTCCGAGAAGCCCGCACAATACTTTGTATCGAAAGACAATCTTAATGTCAACTAATATCTGATGTTTGTTTCAGGATTTATGTGCCGTTTACCGCAAATCCACCGAAATCAACATGCCGATCAACATGGATGACATTTACACTTTAGTTGAAGGTTTCGTAAATGCTTGCTGCTTCCACTTGTGGATGGGTCTTTGCAGCCAGTGATAACATTCCGGATGTACAATGTAATGATGGTACATTGCCTCGGGCAATTTTTTCTATGTACTTGAAAAAATTGTTGTGCAACGTGTTATTTACCGATCGAACGAATTATCTTTCGAATGCGCGAACACGCACTCGAATTGCTAATATTATAGATTATTACACTTGTACGACTTTGTAAATATGAAATATATATTTTCATGTTACATACATTAATTCTCACGTAGAGTTAATCGAACAATAATTTATTCGGTAATACATAAAAATTAAACTACCTTGGTAGGCAGACTAAAAACTGTAATATTACGCAGCGTTATTGATATATTCGTCTACTCAGGAAAATTCAAAAGTTAGTAATTAAGGACTCTGTGCAATAACAAAAGAATGCAACTGCTTTTTTTTTTATATATATATAAGAAATACAACATTCACTTTATTCTGCGATTCCTAATCAATAATTCCCTAACAATTTCGTAAGGAGCTCAATAATTATTAACCATAACGGTGCCTGTACGGTGTTTTCGCCAATATTGTCCCGTTCGATGTGTTTATAAAGTAATATTTGTTCAACTGTAAACTTTATTTCGTTAGATCTCAAGAAAAAGAAATTACACTTGTTTAACATCACATTTCGATTAATATTAAAATGATATTTAATGATCATTACTGTTAAGAATTAATTATAATTAATACTAATAGTGTACAACCATACATTTTTTAGGGAAGGACAGCGTATTGTGAAATTTTTTAATTAGGCTTCTTTCTTTCTTTCTCTCTCTCTCTCTCTCTTTCTTTTTCTTTCGCACGCTCATTCGCGCTCTCACAACACTTTCTTACTATGTCTCGTTCATTCGCACAGGCACTCGTCCACTTATACTTTTGCTGCTTTTTCATCTGGTCAAGAACCAGGCTACCGTTACGACCGTTGTATTTCTATCCGAACTATCGAACCAGTTCAAACACATCGCTGGCTTCAAAGTGCTGTATATTACATTTCTTTCCATCCTATATTACTTCTTATGACAAACTAAGGTACCTAACTATTACAGTTATGTGTGAATCTTATCCTTATCTTACCCATAAAACTGAACTAATCTCTCCTTATCATTCCTTGTTGGGAATTATCGTTAAGCTCAGCATCTTCCTCCAAGATCCTTCTCGACAAAATAAACCCTTCGGATATTGACAGTTATCTTCACGTAATTACATGATAATTAGTTATACGTATATACATATTCGTGTGTCTATATGTATATATCGAGATAAACGTGTTTTTCCGTTAGATCTTGAGTGAAGACCAAGCGTGTCGCCAGAAAAGTCACCGATTGGACGCATGAACGCATATAATTGTACAGGACCGAATTATCGCAGCGTTTACTCCGTTTACAGGCAGGCAGGACAACACATGTACGATAAACTGCTACATATGCACTGTACGACATTGCAGCAGGTAAGCGTTTTAGTAAGCTTATGCAAATCCGAATCCTTCACTGCATTCATGAATCGCTTTCAGTAGATTTGTACGCAGTTTATCATATGTTTCGTATACTGGCAAATCCAATTGATTGAAACTGCAATTAAGAAATATATTTTGAGATTCGGTAACTTTATTACTTATTGAATTTTAGCTTGTAGATATTTAGCTTGAGAAAATATGTTAATTTTTCTCAATTTTTCTACACTCACCAAGTGTGGGCAGATGGAAGCCTATCTGTTGATCTATCCTCTCTGTGAATTTGAAACTTTTGTACGCCGTTCATGCCTTCTAACGCAGCAAAACCTTGTAGGGGTACTTTCGACGTACCGGTAACGAATTGTAAGAATTTCGCACGATCTGCTTGATCGAAACCTCGCAATGCACGCCAGAACCATTGAATCTATGATTAAAAAAATCGCAAAGCGTATAACTCAGTTTTCCGTTTAACATAAAAACGTCAAGTTAATATAAGCTTAGCGTACGAGAGAAATATTGAGATATACATACCTGTAAAGATGTAGCAGTGTATTTGTGATATTCTGTATTCGCTCTAAGATCCTCGATGTCTACATTAGGCAAACCGCTGATCAATAGTTCAAGCTCTTGTTCGTTAAATATGGAGATCAGTCGTTTAGGTATAATATCATAAAAGCCTTCCAAGAATGCATTTAATCTGCGAAAGAAAGTTTGAGATGCAAACACAAATTGAAGGCAACAATTGAAAAGACGATTGAAGCAAATAGTGACTTGACTTTAAATTTTCACTTACTGTTTACGAATTGCTCCAGTCATCTTCATTTGACATACAAGCCTAATATAATCGAGTTTGCTTTCTTCCGTAACTACTATATTACGTCCATTTGGTATTAAATCTCGCACATCATTGACGCCAAATTCATTCACCTAAAAGCAACGCACGTAATTAGTGATCGGAGTATAACGGTCGAAAATGTATGCCCAAGTAATCGTCCTTCACCTCCGTGGAGAACGTTAACTCGTATCCCAAATCAGAGATGTTGTGCTCCGTAAGATAAACGAGTCCCTTGTAAAAACTATAATCCTCGCTTTCCATGTCCGTATGCTTTACAAGTATGCCGAGTATATGTTTGTAAAAACTACGCGTGAAGTAGCATTCTAACAACTTGTTATCGTAAATAGCCTTAGCTGCAGAAACAAATGCAATAATATGTCAGAGCGTGGCGAAGTCATTCTTCGCTTTACTTTCTTATGTTTCTTTCTTTGAGAATTGAGTCGAAAACTTACCGATTACTCGACCTACGAATTTATAATAACACAAATGATTGGGATTACAATGCGACGATGAATTGATCATGTATGTCACACGATCGCCAGGGCTGACTGTGAACAGGGCGTACATCGGGTTGAAGATTTCCCTCGAGATGATGACGTACCATTCTCTCAGCAAACCACCGGCGTCTTGCCCTTCTTCGCCTTCAGAAACAAGGAATCGAGCGTTATTCAAAAGTTGTCGTTCGTGAAGCTCGCACAAAATTTATTGAGGACAAATATTAGGAATCCGTACCCTCGAAAACTATGTAGAAGCGATTCTTCCATTCGTCGGCATTTCTTCGATGAAGTTCCCTGAACGAGTCTTCGAAAACGTGACTTCTACGAACATGGACCGCCAGTTCCTCCCTACGTATACCCTCGTCCATTCGCTCCAATTCCGTTCTAAAGTAACGTCTCTTTACATCGAAATCTAACACCCTTGTGTGATCCACCAGTACAGAGAATGGCCCGTCCGCTAAGTGCGTAGTCGTTTGTCGTAGTATCTGATTGAGTACAGTCCTATGCGTTTCTGAGAATGGATACATATTACATTAAATTGATAATATTAACACGATAACAGGTTATGTCCATGACATCACATGTATGTGACATTACAATACACACCGGCAAATTTAAGGAACTTTAATTGATCCGGTGGCAATGTTTTCTGCGGTTCCCAGGTACCAACGGCGACTTCCGATTGGCCGTCGTTGTCTGGATATATCGGAGAGACTGGCGCCAGGTCTGGTACTTCTCGATTTTCGGTATTCGTGTTGAGACGACTCTCTCGATCGCGGGACGTACTTGACGAGGAGTGTACCAAGAAAAATGCTTCTACAGCAGGCTGTAACACACGCGTACGTAATAATAGCAAGTGATCGCGGCGGTGGTGCGATTCGGTGATAAGAAACTTTCAAGATGACAAGTACGGATCTTTTTACCTGCAAAACAAGGACGGCATGATGATCAGGAGTATACTCCAATTCGAGCAAACAAGCGCTAAGAGTTTCCCATAAATTATCTAATACTAAGCTCTCACTCAGCAGTGGAAGTGTAGTTTTCTCCTCGTCTAAAATAAAAGGGAACATCAAAGTCAGTAATTGAGTTAAATACAAGCACTGCGTAACGATAGCTGTCGATATATTTGACTTGCCATTGCGAGTAGAGGTCGTCTTTGAATTATCAAGATTTGAAGTATTTGCTTGCGTCGTGTCCATAGGAACATCAGCGTCCGCATTTTCGGTGGCTGTAAGATAATTCCCACGTAAATTTCAATGTTAGGACAAATAGCAAAAAATACGCAACGGGCAAGGATATAAAAGTACCTGTCTCTGATGCATTACTTGTTGTGCCTGTATCCATGGCTGTCTCTGACGTTTGGTTAACTTGAAACGAAAATTTCGTATTGTAAATTTAAGTGATAAAATTTGAGAAATTTATCGCAACGTAATCGTGCGGCGTATCATACCTGCTTTCTTGGTGTTCGCTAAGCGTACAGCTTCTCTTATTTGTACGATAACTTTAAGTATTCTCAAGAAAAACGCCTGACTAGATGTTTTACTGACAAGAGCAGCCATCGATGGTAATTGAAGGTCACTTCCGGCCTTAACTTTGCTCGGTGCGGTAACAACTACGTTTTCGTTCGTAAACCTGGAAACAAAAGTTCTTCACAAATCAGTGTTCCACTTCTCTACGTGTGAAGAGAAATACAAGCGAAAACAATACATTTCACGATAAGAATGTTTTTTACCTGTCTAGCAGAATTCCTCGGCCATTTCCACCGCTAGTCGATGGCTGGTCTTCTAAGGAATTTCTTCGTCTTAATTCACGATTCAGTACTTTGAGTTCCATCATCAAATCGTTGATATGTTCGCACACCATATTCGCTAGCTCCATCGCACCCTCCAAAAGTAATTTTAATATCTGACGACAAAAAGTATACAAAAATTAACCCATTATTATTAACATTCTTTCACGTCAATCTATCTAATTACAGGGATACACACCAGTTGCCTAGTAGGATCAGGACAGTGAGATAAATTGAGTAGCAATGCTGTTGCATCCTCGAGTCCCTCCTCGGAACAGCTCTTGCTAGTCAGCACTTGCACGGCGAGCTTAAGATGCCCTTCCGGTGCGGCGACACTTTGATCCTTATTGAGTTCCAACTTTTTGTTCTTTACACTGCTTTCCTGCCGCCGATAAGGATTCATTTCTGTCAGGCCGATGGAAATCAGAGACAGAAGCCGTAGCAGCTTATCCGTCAACTGACTGCTTCGCTTGATCACGGACCAATTGAGCATCGAGATGAGTTGCCCGAATGCGGAAGCTTCGAACGTCGTTGTGCCGTGCTCCGGCTCGCTTCCCAGATTCGTATTCGAGTGAGTCCGCGCAACAGATTTTCCTTTCTTGGATGCGCACGAGTCCAGTTTCAGAAGCAGATCCCAGAAATCCGGGAGATCGCTCCTTCCCACCTTGGACGCCGACTTGTTCTTCGCTCCGCCTTCCTCCTTACTGCCGCTCACGTCCTTCTCTTTATTACTGTCCTTATCGTCTGATTCTTTAGACTTGATTGGCACGAAATATCCAGGGAAACTCTTAGCTAGCGATATCAGCAGCTCTAAAGTATGTCTGCAATTCAATAGAAACAACAAAATCAACATGGTTCGTTAAAAATGTAATAAAGATTTTTTTTTTTTACAGCTTTTTCTGGTGTTAGATTTAAGTATTTTTAAGATAATACACGTACCTGCAAACGGTGGGTGCTGCTTGCGGATGAATTGCGATAATGTTACCCTGCCTCTCAGATTTCTTACCAGCATGGCGTATTATATGGAATACATTAGCTCTACAGCCGAGTGCAGCATCGATGCTAATATTTAGCCACGATTGTATGTTGTTTCTTTGGTCAAAAATCTTTGGAGAGCTAAAATCATTCATTCTCGGCATTATTTCTATAGCAAACACATTACATTTTTTTTTTGTATAAGATTAATCTCTAAACAAGGAACACATCTTACCATAAATCCATGGGAGGATTTAATAAGCCTTTCCTCTTGAATTTGCCACCGAAATCTGCCATGATATCTTTGTTCTCATCATTGCTTCTTTCCATGATGCTCAACAATGCTTTCACCACCCATTCCCTTGTGCTACCGTGATAACAGAGATTTCTGATCACCCTGTGTAGCCTCAGCGTGTTAATTTTTGGCTCATCGACAAATAATAACACTAGCAGACATGCCATCGATTCGTGATCGAGTAACTGGCGGCCTCTTAATCTTAAGCCAGCACTTTGATGTGCCATGTTCGTGTCACCGCGACTGTTCCAGGCGTTCCATTGGGATCTCTGCGGTACCGCGTGAATAGCATATCTAGTGCCACCGCCACGAGCTGTCGATCAATGTTTCGATTTTTATATGAAGCAATCACAAACTTGTATATACTTGTACTTTCTATTGCATTTTTTATTTATTTATGCCAATATTAACATTTATTATATTATTAACACAATCATTTTAATCATCATTTAACACGATAAGACTCACCTCTGCCAGAATTCCTCAATATGCTCGAGAGAGCTGTATTACTCTGACTAACGTGATTAAGGAATCTTTCCTGCATCATATGTCGATTACGTGCTTCCCACTCCCTCCTCAAGTTTTGAGCTTCTTGAGCTAAATCCGGTGGAAGGACGGATATTTGAGACTCCTCCATATCGGTCAGGATCTGTACAGAGAAACATTATTTTCCAAGAAACGGCACGAGAACATCACTATCGAGGCAGAAAGTTACGTTCGAAAATATGTACTAACCGCTTGTCGTAGAGAAGGCTGCAGATTTTGGAAGAATGCGGCAGCGTCGACCGGATCCTCTGGATTCGCCGAGGCGGCAGCGTGTCTTTGCTGCTCCATGCGTTGCTGCGCCAAGACTTCCTCCTGTATCGCCGGTGGTAGAGCGGCCAGGAATTCAGGATTCACCTCAACCGGTCCGCTGAGTTCCTCGACTACAGAAGCTTGCGCGCGCTGCCTCATACGCTGAAGCCTGTCAATGTAGCATTTCATTATTATTCGCGTGTCGCTGTCGGGATATCAACTTTCGGATCGGATTATTGACCTGAGCTGCTCCGCGATAACTTCGTCGCGCATGTCCTCGGGCAAGGCAGCTAAGAACGACGGATCCACGCCGTCCGGCAATTGCTGCTCCTGACTGCTGGACTGCTGTTGCGGCTGCTGTTGCGACGATTGTTGCGACGATTGCTCCGAAGTCCCCACGGTGGTGCTAGTTTCAGACGTCGAAGACGTTGGGTCCTGATTAACAATGTTGGCACTGCAACAATATTTATTTCATTGTAGATACGATTGATGTGCTGCTGTAATCAGTGCGCTCGAATCGCGTGCGCCACTTACTTTCGTTCGACACGCCGCAAGTCGATGTCGCTCGTTCGACATTGACTGTCGTCCGTCAAGAGCCTGCGAATCCAGTCGGCCGAATCGCTACTCTCTCTCGACAAGTCCTCGTTAGTTTCTTGACCGAAGTCCACGACTATCGGCGCAGCAGCGGTGCGATTAGACGATTCAGCGACATTTGTCGCTTCTGCACCGCTTCGCCCGGGTTGCCCCGTTGGAGCAAGATGTGTGGGCGCAGCGTCATTAGACACGTGAAGACCTAACGACAAAAGCGTGTTAGTGTGCAATATTCGCATGGCCTGATGATAAAAGCGAAAAATCCCGGAATCGCATGACCATAGTTTCATATATATTTTTATATTCTTGTATATTTAACACATAAACTGGCTCAGAGAGAAAATTCAGGCAAATTATACAACGGTGAGAGATAACTTGATGCGCAATATCGTTTTTAAACGTTCTCGCCCAAGCTCTTCTTCAAATAAAATATACATTACTTAATCTGATAGTCGCTTCGGATGTACACGGTCCCAGCACAGAGTCGACGATACTTTCCGCCAGCTCCAGCGTGGAATTTCGATTTGCCGTGCGAGGATCTCGACTGTCGGACGTTGACTGCTCTTCCGGCGGTGGCGGTGGCGGCCGCTCCTCGTCCTCTTGTACCGTCACTTCCATTTCACCTGTTACATCTAGTATGTAAAAATATATAGAAACACGCGTATAGAATATAATTAGAAATAAAATGTCAAATTTTTTTTTAACGTTGCAGGTATACCGATTATGTCTTCCTCCGGCGTGCGCTCCTGTCTCGTGGTTTCCGCAGCGGTCTCTTCTCCGGCCACAAGTGAAGTAACATCAGTTCTTTGTGAGGTAGATGCGGATGGTCTCTGTTCATCTATATGCGTCAAACTCGACGATCCGGCTAAAATAGACACATAATCGCACTTGTATCTATAGCAATAATAGCAGAATAAATGAGCTTCAAGACCAATGTTTCGTTTTAGCAAGCACTTGGTAAACGGCGGTAAAATCGAGTAAGCGTCTTCCAGCGATTAACAAACAATTCACGTATCAAATTTAATAGGCAATTATAATGTAGAATTATAATTTAAATTTGACAGAACACACTGAAGAGGATTACGACGTGATGACCGAAACGTTTGTGTCAACGAAAATAAGCAAAGTGAAAAACAGAAAAGTGCTGAAACCGAGGTCTCTTTAAACTTCATTTATTCCAAACATTTGATAATAGATTATTTTATATATAATATATACATACGTCAAAAATATATATGATAACGACAATGTACTTACATTCTGCGTTATTCGAACGCTCCTTTTCTTCTTTATTATCCTTTTCATTTTCCTTCTCAGAACCATGTTGTTTCTTACGCTTCTCCTTGCGCTCGGCAAGCTCGGCGTTTCTGTGCTTTTCCAATCCAGGTATCAGCTTGTGAACCACACCTTTTCGATGATAAACAAGTTAATGCAATTGTACAATGCGTATAAACATAAAAAAAAATCGCAGACGTTTCGATTCTTACCAACGCAACAGTCGGGTTGAGAGTCTCCGTCTAACTGCTTGCTCTCTTCGATCCACCAGTGTAACGCGGTAGGAATATTATTCAAAGTTGCAGCAAGGCTTGGTCCGAAGAGATATCCAGATTGATCCTAGCAATATCAATCGTTCAAAATCACGCATCTTTTCACACATTTGCTGCTTATATTTTTATATCACTACAATTATATACGTACGACATAATCGATTTGTTCTTCCTCTTGATTAGTGAATATTCCCAACCCGTTATCCATCACGACAACGCGTGTGTCTCTAAAGCTTGACGCTAACACTTGACTAGCAGACAAGGGAAGAGTCTGTGCGGCCGGGCCTAAGAGTCTAATTATTACACATAAAAATACGATTAGACATATACGCGCGAAAACCTAAGCTTACGACAGACGACACGTACAGATATGTTCGCTTTAAGTATTCAAAATTCAAGACTAATACGTACCGCTGTAAAATCACAGGCGGATTTGAACTACGTGGATTAGATAAATGGAGATACTGGTATCGCCTTTGACGTAAAGCACGTTGGGTTCTAGTATTCGCGGTGTCCAAACTTCCTTGCGATATTAATAATGGATGAGTGCTGATACCTGCACACGAAATAAAGTATTAAGAGTGAAGAAGAGAAAGATATTTTCTTCTCAATTTTTCTTCTAATTTACCATTGTTCTCCGAACCTGCAGGGGGCTCTTCAAACAGGCCCAACGGTAGTGGAAATGTGGTGGTGTTCCACGGAAGACTAGGTCGCGTATTAATCGGCGTCGATGTATTCGCGACGATATCTTGATTTTCAATGTTGTGCTGTATCATCACAACATTTCCGCCATCGCGCTCGGAAGTCGGGAACATGCGGAAAACACCGCCGTCGCCGGCGTCTTCGTAAAATTCTATTCCATCCTCCTCGTAATTGGACGATCCTTCCTCTTCCTCCTCCTCCTCCTCCTCATTTTCCTCACCTGTTAAAATAACAAATGAGAAATAAAGGGCGCACAATCTCTGACCGCGATCGTCATGTGTGTAAAACAAGCCGATTTATCTACCGTCATCCTCCTCTTCCTCCTCCTCGTCCTCGTCGTCTTGCACCTCGTCCTCATTATCATCGGACGTGTTGCTATCAGAGTCCGAATCGGAACTCATCAGGTCCTCCTAAAAAAAAATTCATTGTAGATTGAAAAAATACAACGGACAATATACTGATTACGCGAGAATAAAGTGAAAGAAAAGCGACGTTACTCTTACTGTGGTATCTCGAGTCGGATCAAAATCGCCTTCCGCATCGCGCATCGCGAGACTTTCGTCGTCAATGTCCATTGGCCTGTGCGGGCGGGAAGATGGTTCTTCCGCCACGGCCGAGACGTCCCTGGAAAACAGTACACTACTTGATTATAAGTACAGCAGCCTCCATGAATTTAAAAGACTATTAAATAAATAAAAGATTCGCGAACGTGTGCAACATATAAACAGAAATGTATACAACAAAATACTGTATTGTGTTTAAATTATTTTAAGAAATCATATAGACGTTTTAATTAATAAATTGTAGAAATCAAAAATAGAATTTTGTTTTACACATGTGTTACAAATTAAAATCAATGTAAAATACAATCTGCGGAGAGGCAACATCCTGCTTCTCTGTTAAATATAGAAAAAGAATTGTTATTGCACGAAACAGTTTGTAATATATATATATATATGTATATAAACACAGATTGTACAATCAGCGATATTCAATAAGAGAATTATTCGCCATATTGAAGTGATCATTTCGCAGATACATCAAATACAAAGAGAGACTTTATAAAATTGCATGACGTTCATCGAAATCTAATTAATTGTCAATTTGCGTGTCGTTACCTTTCCAGAAGCTGGTCCATGATATCTTCAAGAGCGGCCTCGTCACCTTCCTCGTGTACTTGACTCTCCGAAGTCGGCTCCAAGCTTTCCGCCGTCACTGAAATGTCATGTTCCGTATTCTCCGCATCCTCGTTAGCTTCTTCGCCGACAGCATGCGTAGCTTCCGAAGTCGTAGTGCCTGTCTGTTCTCCAATCGGCTCCTCCTGGACCGTCCTATTTTTTGGCTTCGTGAACTTGTTGCTGACTGCGCCCGGCATCGGCTGATTAATGATGCGCGACAACGTCTCTAATGGTTTCAAGGCGGCGTTAATAGTGCCGGCCATATTCGGACTTGACAAGTCGAGGCTGTGCGGAATTTTCGCCAAATCGGTGATTATGCCCTTTCTCAGCATTATTCTAACGATGTAATTGACGTTGTTGTATTGGTGAGCTCTCAGAGAAGCCCTGAGTTGAGTGTGCGACATATTGGGTGGACAGCTGTCGATCATCGTGGAGATCAGCCCGATTAACAGCTGTAACTGCGCATGCTTCTCGGAACTTTCCGGAAGCGCGAGCGTTCTCGTCAAAGCTGCCTTTACCTCGGTTACCAGAGTCGTCTGCACGTCTGGCGAGTGATTGCACGAAGCAATAGCAGCGATCAACATCCTTGCCATACTGCTGCATGTTCGATCGCCCGAATTTTCCGGCGACATTGGCAACAGTTTGTCAAGTAAGAAAGCTAAAGCTGTTGTGTCTTCGGAAATCATCTCGCTTTGTCCAGCTCTGTACGTGTGCTCGGTGATGAGACTAGCGACAGCGCCGTATGATCTCACAGCCTCGGCCAATATTTTCAGTATCGCAGACTTCGTCAGGATTGGTTTCTTCGCTTCTTCCGGCTCCACCTTGCTGCTGTTACCGATGTCGGTGTAAATCTTCAGAGGAATGATTTGCGAAACTTGATCGTCATCGTCCAAGGGATCGTTCGTGGTTGTCGCGTTGTTTCTGAGCACGTCGCCTCGCCGTGACGACGACGTCGATGACGAAGCATTGCCCATCGCTGAGGTTGTCGCGTGCGACGTCTTCTTCTCGGGACTCGTGGGGGTTGCAGATCCGTCATCCGATGACACCGGCATTGGTTTGATCAACGCGTTCAACAGATCACGGATAACACCTACGGACACTTCTTCCACCATCGGTAATGCGGGTGAGTGACTAGGAGGCAAAGCTTTCACGACTAGCCTATTATCAACGTCATCTTCTGCAAAGTAAACGAAATGAATGGAATAAGATGCGATTAAAAAAAACGGCGTTGACATTTAACATGTTTAACAGACGCTCAGCGCCATACGAATTAATAAAACTCACTTTTCAGGCAACTTATGTCGACTCTGAGGATATTCTCGCAGACTTCTCTGTATACTTCCGGATTGCGGCAAACGGCACTGCTAATTTGCCGCGTCATGAAAAGAATCTCTTTATACGCCGGAGGTATATTGCTTTGTGTGCGCGCTCGAATAACCTGCAACAGAAGAACGATAGACGGTAGTTTTGCGTCGTTGAACAGATTGATGTACGAAATCAAAATGATTAGGTATAATCACCTTCTCCATGGCGAGACGAAGTGTACGCGGCTCTTCCAGAGTGTGTCGTATTAGCAACGTGCACAAGTTGATGCAGCCGGTGAAACTGCACATTTGTGTCATTTCGAGAAGCAATTTAACACCACCCTCGCGTGCAAAAACTTCCGCATTTTTGTAATCTCTCGTTAGCCGTAAACAAACTTTCAGCACAGCGTGTAACGCGTCCCGATCGACTGGAATCGCCAACAGCTTTACACACGCGCTGTAATACAAACATATTTATGAAAAAAGCCTGTAAAGCTTTTGTCAGTTTTATTTTATATATACACTATGTGCAACAATCGAAAGATCAAGAAAAATTGATTAAACAAAAGCAATTTTCAAAGTATTCTAACTCCGCGAAAAGTCGTGGTATTTTAATTCGGAGGAAAAAAAATTAAAGCTTAAAACTTCTTCACGATCCGTCAAAATAAAAATTTTAAATGCAACTAATGTGTATAAAATATATATAATGTATTCATTTATCATATAAAAAAAAAAGAAAATTCCATCACCAAAAAAAGCATATACAACATTTTAACAAAAGAGTATTATCGATACTCGTAAAATCTCCTTCAAATTAGGACATTCTCGTCTAATATTTGCTTTCTTTTCAGAGCCTAATAGCGTCAGAATCGTTTCATGTGAAGCATCATCGATAAATCTTACCGTACGATACTCGGTGCTATGCTAGGATCCAAGCCTTGCACCACCGTGTTTCGTTTGTCCTCCACCGGACTCTCATCGGTATCCATGTTCGAGTCGGATCCCGAGCCACCGTCTTCCTTGTCTGTATTTAGTTTGAAGCCCATCGTGATGGGCCGTCTGTTATCGCTGTCTTCGTTCACTTGGGTCATGCAAGAGAAGGTAATGAGATAACGGCGTCTACTGCAAGATATTCGCACACTTGACTCGCCGGCCCAATACGCGTCGTTGATGATTCTATTGTTCATAGGCGAATAGAGGGTCCATTTGCCTGTGCTCAAGTCGAACCACTTCCACGCTCTGGTCGTGACTTTGTGCATCAGTTGCTTTCGCTTGGTGAGAGTGGCCACTTTCTCCAAACGATCAATAAGCAACAGCAACGGCGCCAACCATTTTGGCGTCTTCACGCTAGGCGAACCGCCGTCCTTGCTGTCCTTGGCGATTTTGTTCTTGTTGGCGGTGAGCGGAGCCTCGCTCACCACCAGCAGACGAACCAATTTGTCCAATATCGCGCACTCCTCCACTATCTGAGCGCAAGGCACTCGCATCTCCTGGAACGAGCCCTCGAAGAAAAGAGTGTACAGGTAGAGGCGACCGGCGAGCTTGTTCGCCTCCTCGCACTCCACCAATCGCGAGCCAGCATTCTCGTCCTGGCTCTCAGCGATGCCAATCAGATAGTCCACCAGGCGCCCGACCTCGCGTATCAGTTGCCGTAACGTATCGTCCCGCCACTCGTCGCCGTTCCGCTTCGTGATCGTCACCAACAGATCGCAGATTCTATAAACGGTGTCCGGCATGAGATCCAACAGATTCAGACACTGACCCAGCGCGGTCTGCGTGAACTCGTCTATGCTCTCGGTGATCGTGGTCTCGCCACGGGCGGCGGTGGCCTCCTCGGTGCCCGAAATCTTGCGCGTCTCAGTGTCGCCGAGCGACATCGCGATGGCGTGCATTATTTGATCGTCGTCCAAATCCAGATCCATGATCAGGCCCTGTCCGCTGGCGTCGCTCACGGGAGTCGTCGGGTCTGCGCAGAGTCGCGGGATTCGTCAGAAGATAATCCGTCGCCTGCTCCACGGTAAGCGTGTGCAGCAACGCTTCTATGCAATGCGCGCGACTGAAACCCATGTCCATTAGTTGTCTGAGATATTCCGGATTCACGTCCGCCTCCGGTTCGTCCCTGCGGTCGGACGCGACCCCGCTAGCGCCGGCGCCGGCGCCTCTGCTGCCGACACCGCTCGCGCCGCTGCTGCTGGCCGTCGCGCCGTCCCCGCTCTCCTCCTTCTCGGTGCGCTCCTTGATGATCTTCTCGCCGCGTAGAATGTGCCGGAGAATTGATAGAATCGATTCCGTCATGCGAGCGCCGTAGTTTTTAAGCGGCTTCTTGCCCCACATCAGCATCACCGCCTCGAAGGCCTTCTTGTGTATATCGGTGAGATATTTGATCGGGTCGAATGTCTCGCACACTTTATATATTCCTGTACATTTTGACGAGACTACGTGAGGCGAATCCAGGATGGCTTTCGGATTGACCATCTTCTCGAGCAGCATGAGCCAGGCGTCGAGAAATTCGCCAGTACCGTCCGGTAGATTCGGATGCTCGAGGCCTTCGGCCAGCGTGAACTGACCGCCGCCCGACAGTGCCCAGTGGAACGTGGAAAAGAAGGCATTTTGACCGTTGAGCTTAACAAACTTTTGGAGCATTAGATGATAAGGATGCCGCTTCTCGTCGAAAAGCATCGGAGAAGTGAAGCCCACGGAACATATCAGAAAGGTGAGCTTAAACTTGGGAATCGGCGACGGGGGTAATTTGTCCCACGACAAGCCGCGCGTCAGTAAACAATTTAAAGCGGTGGCGACACTTCTTGCCGCCTGCGACGGCAGCGTGGGCGTTAGAGGCATTTGTTGCCCTCTACGTTGTCTTACGGGTGAGCCCATGCAAAGCTTGACCAGTAGTCCGAATAGTTCCGAGAGCGCTCTGCCAAGACGGGAAGACGCACCCAGCAGTGGTTTGATGTATTTTAATTGATAGCTGTTCGGTCTGTCGGTGCTCACGTTCGGCTTGTCATCCACCTCCATCGGCACCGGTGGCGGGTCTGTGCTCAGCGCTTCCATGGCCGTGGTCATTCCGTTGCTCCCCATATCCGAGGACGCAGCGGCGGACCAGGCGGAGGAAGACTCACCCTCGGTTTTCAGCTCGGGCGGCATCAACTTATCCATGTCTTCTTTGCCGAATTCACATCCGGCTGGAATAATATCTTCGCTACACAACGCGAGCAATAGCGTACTTTCCCAGACGAGAGACATGTACAGCTCGGATAAACCTTTGAGAACGGTCAAGCCCAACTCGGAACCCCAATGGTTCATAGACAGATTTCGAATATCGCTCTGACTAGTACGACAAACGTGAACAAACATTACTACATATCCGTGAGCCGCGTTCATGGCGTGTAACAGTGGTGTCGCGGTGTCGCTCGTAAACGCCGTTTCGAGATTTGGCGCCGAGGCGAGCTCGTGCAGCAAAACAGAACCACCGGGCGAGTCCATGTGACTGTGCAGCGGCTTCAGCAAATTTAGCACTTCGTGTAGTTGCGACAATCCTGTTTTCAGTACCAACGGTTCGTGTGCAAGATTCTGCAAGTATAAATTACATATTTTCGATATATTCACATTTACAAATTGCAACTTCGACAAGTAGTAATTATATGAATAAAATGAAACGCACCAAGATACTCTTGCATACCGATGCTACGGATTGAGCCGCTTGCGCGACAGGATAGTCAACGGGCAAATTGGGCAAACCCAGAATAGAAAGCAGCGAAACAAGTCCCTTTTGAGCGACGAATTCTCTACAGTGATCATCGGTCGAGTTGTTGCTCAGTATGGCATCCACAAATTTCATAACGTTGTGAATATATTCGACTAAAGCAATGGGGGTTTTCTCCCTTGGTTGCGGCGGTGGCCCGGGCTGCGCAGGCGACAAAGTAGGTTGCTCTTCTCGTTGAGGATGCGAACTTGTGCTCGCTTCCTCCTCGTCTTCTTCCTCTTCGTCGCTACTGCTTCCGCCACCTCCGCCTCCACCGCCACCAGAATCACCGACTCCAACGCCAACTGACTGACCGGATGACTGACGATTTCCAGAAGCGGCATTTGACGGCGAATTTTCAGATTTACTAGCGGCACGCCAGCATATGTATCGCGGATCACAGCCCAATACGCATAAATCTTGCAGTAACTGAAAGGAATAAGGTGAGTATTTGAAAAATAAAAATCAAGCGAAAGAGTGCGAGATGGATTTGTATTAGAAGTACCTTAATAATAGCCGCGATAGCGTCAACTTTTAAGCTTGGTTGGTGCCTCATCAGCTCGTCCATGGCGTTGCCTAAATTCGAAGCTGTATCGCCCAATGGATCAGCACTTCGTCGTCGTCGCATTGCCGAGAGGTAGACAGGTGAAAGAAGTACTTTGAATAAGCGCTCGAACGGCCGTCGCTTGACAAATGATTCAAGACCGCGTTGATTTAAACACAATGCACTGAACACATTAGGTAAAGAGCCCAATACTTCTCTAGTGGCAGGAACCTAAAGTACAAAGTTATTTGTAAATTTTCAAGATTAAGCATTCTGGTAAGCATATATATATATGTGTGTACCATTCGGACACCAGAATGCTTAATCTTGAAAATATATATTACAGAATATATATATTCGACTTCGTCTATATATTCTCGAATATAAATTGTAAATTGTTGCACTCACTTCTTTTATGAGTAGAGCATGGAGTACAACGTCGGTCAAGCCGTTATCTTGCAAGGACGACAGTAGCGATGGTTCTTGGAAAACGTACACAGTCACGACATCGGTGGCAAGCAGAAATAGCGAAGGACCATAGTACTCTGAATTACTTATTATGTGTTTCAAAGAGGATGGTAATGTACCCTCCATTACGTGTCGTATGCTATCGGAGAATGCCGGGTCCTGAATCGCCTTCTTCAGGAAGTTCAACATCGACTTGAGAAGTGCTGCTCGTTGTGGTAAGCACGTTTTGCCAGTCTTAGCGGCGGAATAATCTGGCAACTGTTCGCTCTTTTCGTCCACCTTAGAACTTGTATTTTCGTCTTCTGCTATTTCCATTGGATTACAAGATTCTTCCCGTTCGTCAAAAGTCTCGTGCTCACGGCGTGAAGCAGAAGATCCCTCCTCTCTATCCACCGATCTTTCGCGAGATGTTTGCGGAGCGTCTTGATATAGTTGTGGTTCTATTTCGAATGGCTGTTCTTTTCTACACACGTTAACTTCCATGTCCAAACGATTGATGAAACTTGCTAGACCACTGTGAGTTTGGAAACCTTGCATATCTATGTTAGTTATCAAGTCGATGACACGTACTGCCCTTGTTACAAACTGTAAAGAAACAAAGGATAAACAGATAAGCCTCATTTATCTTATCAATCCGCACGATAAATTGTGCACCATCTCTCATAAGTTATTATTTTATTACTTTCAATTTGTAAAGATGGAGAATTGCATTGCATATTTCATGAAATATTACCGTTATATGATCTAACTCGCTTCCTGGCCAATTTATCACTTTTAGAAGACTTTCCATCATGCCACAACTAACAAGAGCTTCTCCACCTGCCTCATAGCTTGCAAGATGGTAGAGAAAGCTAAACAAGGCTGTCGCAAGTGCTAATGGAAAGGAAGGTTGTCCGTCCGGTTGCGGCAGGGTTAATGTCGTGATACAAGTACGAACCAAAACAGGAAGGAATCCGTGATATGAATTAGCCCCAGTCACATCGATAATCATGTTCAATCGCGAACCTGGTTTTCTAAAACCAAACAAGTGCAGACTGTTATCTCGATTGCAATAAATTTATACAGAAGGAGAAAAGATTATGATGTGCGTACTTGGGAAAATGTGGATTACGATCTAAATGTATAATGCTCGTTAGAGTACGCAATGCTGCTGCTCGAATATCGACCAGATGGGTGTGTGGAAGTTCCAATAATTCGACCAATTCTTCCAAAAGCCCGGCGTGGAGAAGACTATGCGCATTTTCCTGCAGCGCGTTGCTATACACAAGCACAGATAGCGCTTGAAGTCGAGCTTGCACGCACTGCAACCGTCTTCGGTAATCCGAGAAACTATGCGCTAGCCTTATATGTGTCAATAGAGCCATCTAAAAGAACAACACATTTCAAATACGCATAAAAAAATATCCTCCAATTATATAGCTATCGTGTTTCGCTCACCGAGTTATATTTATTCGAGCAAGAAATTAAATTCTGAAGCATCGTTACCTGTCGTTCTTGGGGTACATTATAAACTTTTAACAGATCATTCATGATCTGTGCTGGGGTTTTTCCAAGTTTATCAACATTTTCTATATGTATATATGTTACAAGATTCGTTTGACCAACTTTCTTTGTACTAGAGAGTGATGTACCAGATGATTCTGATACAGTCGGATTTTCTGCATAAAATTCAAAGTGTAACGTTGTAGCACTTGCTGGAAATGGCTGTAAAATCCAATATGTAAATAATTTGTAAAATTGCGTCATATTGCGTTATTATATAATCGTGCTTACCTTCTCTGGGAATTCTTTGCAGCAATCCGCTAAACCAAAACCATTTTCTTTTCCTCCCCAACTCTACAATAACCAAATTATTATGTGAGAAAGAGAATTAGATTATATCACTGATATATAAGTTACATCGAGTACTCTACTAACCTCTGCTAGATGATTAAGCCTGCTAAGCAGAGCTTGTCGCTTGTCACTATTTAGACGTGTAATAAAATTACTGCGTTTACTAAACATGTACAGAAGATTTAATACACCAAGGACTACGTGCAAATCACAACTCGATAATAAAGTAACCAAGTGTTCCATGCTGTTGTACAAATGCCGTGAGAACGAATGTTCAATTAACAACGTCGTGAAGTGAAGAACCCAGAGAAGCAGCTCTTTTGCCTGCATCAAATCAATAGCCATGTATGAATTATTTTACTACTGATAGATTGACTTGTAATTATTACCGAAACATTTGGAATAATATATACTTTGGTAAATTGTGCAAACAAATAAATCACTTATTAAACAAACCTCTCTATTTTGAGGAAGATCACATGCTAATTCCCATGGATTATCCGGACTCCTTGCCGCAGCTTCTTCTAAAATACTGTCACTGAGATCTAAGACATCGATCCAATGAAATAATTCACATTTTCCAAACGTCCACGCATCTATCTGCTTTAATTCTTCCAGCAGCTCCGCATGCGAGCAGGAGCGTAATTTGCTTATAAGTGCTTGACATTCTGCGGGCTAAACATTTATTAAATTATTAATTTTACAAAGATATAGTAGTAGAATAAAGCATTTGCTTTTATATTAAAGCTTATTTTAGACATTGTGCAACCTGTCTAGATTTATAAATTAATTCTTGACACATAATAATATATGATCTTCATAAAAATCACATCTAAATTATTCGAATTAAAACTATGGAATACTTACCACTTCGGAAGTGCATTTTTTCAGTCTGCTGCGATCGATTTTCATTTTGGTATGTTATTACGTCTTTCCCAAATTTAATATCTAAAATAAAGATACACATGTTGCATTATAAACTTTACAATGATATTTAGTCAATATTAACAATTTATTATCATAAATATATTGAGTCTAAAATAAAACAGTATCATTGTTTATCATTGTTATTAATAGAATTAATGAGACATAGAAATTGATATGACTATAACTTAAAATCATACTTTATAACCTTAAACCTCTATGACTATAACTTTGAATATCCATTGTTCTGAGTGTAGAAGATAGAATTGGTGACTAATACAAGAATAAGCTAAGCTATCATCACTAGAGATATCTAAAGTTCCTGATTATTAAAGATTATTCGAAATATTTATATAAGCAAATTGAGCTACAAGTAAATTAAATTTTGATAAACAAATATTGTGTGTCATCATATTTACACGTGAAACGATCAACGTGCAATTGCACAATAACCCGATTCAATATGATGAAATATATCACACCAGAAAGTAACCTTTTTAGCCAATACGTTCCCTCAATATTCCACAGTAATTATACGTGAAGCGAGAAAGAAAATGATGCGTCAACGTGGTTTCCGAAATCACGTTTTAATCTGCACAGTCATCAGCGATATAGTACAATCTAACCTATGTACGCGTCGCAGGAACAATGGTAAAATAACAACAGGTCAAATGACAATACTCTGGCGGCGATCAGACACACTGTCAGTTCTCGAGATCTATGCGCCCTCGTAAATAAACGTTTGAAGGTGAAAAAAGGCGTGATATTGGTTCGAACGCCACGACGGTTAAACAGAAAGAAGGAAGTTTCACTCGAACGGCAGAAAGAGAGGAAAAAAAGTCGCGTGCACTTGCCAGACCGAAAGAAAGAAAAATGCGCGACGTATCTCACCTGGCGATGAGCCGTCGTACTTCTGTGCCTCCAACTTTCCTACGTGATAACGTAGCGCTACCGCTACTGATAGCCTCTTCCGTCAAGCCCGAGCACCGTCCGATGCACTTTTTCACGTCGAGAGCGTGGCGATGCGGCACGGGCATCGCGGTCGCGTCAAACCCGCGAGCCCGAGATTACTTATCGGAATTGTTACCGCTGTTGCTGTTGTTGCTACGTTCCGTGAACTACCACCAGCTTTTTGTCATTAACGCGCGCCGTAGCAGCGGTACTACTCTCGCAGTTGCACGTTGATAGTCGTCGCGACTTTGCTACAAAGACGGTGAGAACGCAAGAGGAACGTAACAGACAAGGAGGAGATGAGAAACGGGTAGTAGAGGGGGAAGATAGGGAGAGACGAGGGAGACAGA